ATCTTTCTTGCCTTTGTTCCTCAAGATCATTTTCTTTATGGTCTATGCCAAATACTTTTTTAGTATTTGAGAAAAATCAGATTATAAAAAGACTATAAAGAAGTTTAACCTAGACTTCTAAGTACATACTATATTTATTCAGGAAAACTAAATGAGATGTTAAAAAAAAAGTATGTCAGAAAAGTTATACAAAATACATAATTTTTAAAAATCTCTTAAATAATTCACATAACTGGATTAAATCGAGTATAGGTATGTGTGATTAACATTCACCCTTAATATTAACACTTTTTGTCTGTGTGTAGAGTAATGTTTGGTTTAGTTCCGTGGTGAAATTCAATTTTTTTTTACTAACGGTTCTGTGGGTGTGGCTTGGTGGGCATGGCAGGGGAAGGATACTGCAAAATCTCCATTCCCACCCCATTCTGGGGCCAGCCACAGGTGGCATTTGCCAGTTCTCCGAACTGCTCAAAATTTCTGCTACAGGTTCTCCAGAACCTGTCAGAACCTGCTGGATTTCACCCCTGATTTACTTGTATGAAAATAACCCTAGCCTCTGTTTCAGTTCACACAGTCCTAGTTTCCTTTTATCGGTATAATTCCAAACAGAAGAGTAGAACGTAGTTTACCTTAATTATATTTTGTATATTAATAAAGCATTAAATTATGCTTAAATATACTATTTTTATACTCTAGGACAGTGTTTCTCAACCTTGGCAACTTGAAGATGTCCGGACTTCAACTCCCAGAATTCCCCAGCCAGCATTTGCTGGCTGGGGAATTCTGGGAGTTGAAGTCCGGACATCTTCAAGTTGCCTAGGTTGAAAAACACTGCTCTAGGAAACATATAGATCTCTGCTGTAATCCTATTCATGTGAATACTTGTTGTTTGACAGTCTTCCTTCTCTCCTATGACAGTGGGAACCTTTATTTTGGTACAGTTAAGTCTGGGACTTAACAAGTTTAAATGTTTTGAAGTTCCTATGTTTTTTTTATATGTTGAGAATTTTTGAATGCAGACATTTTCTGTTCCATTTCATGCCAGCAGTCAACTCATTACAGCAATTCTCCACCCTAAGTTTAATGTCTCCAGTCCACTCTAATTTTAATCAGTGTTTAAAATCATACTTGGTTAAAATCTGTGTAATCAACTGTCTGTCAATGCATGAATCTTCAAATATTTTGTTTCTAATAAAGATTTCTTTAGTTTAACACATATTTATCACAGATTTTTTTAAAAAACATATTACTAGAGAATGAAGGCCCAGGATAATGTTACAGAATCCAATCTGGCTCGGACACCAGAACCAGAGGAGCTGATGCCCATCTTCAGGGAAATTAGCTAGAGAGAAGATTGGATCCTGCAATATCACCAGAACATTAAATGGGAAAGCAAAATTATGCAATCTGTTTACAGTCCTAGGTAGAGCAAAATCCCTACAAGGAACTCCCCGTTGTTTCAAAAACTGCTGCATTATGCACCATTAATGTGCAAATTGCAGCCCTGCTGTCCATGATCTTCCTGCAAATGTTATCTCTCTTTTGAGATTGTAACAAATGTCTTAGGAATATACAAAAGCTTGGAGAAAAGAAAATTAAGAGACCCTTATGGTCCCAAAACTAATCCTCAAGGCCTTTTCCTATCTCAAAATTAGCAGCAGAATAAAAAATGAAGAGCTTAATCACTACAGAGCAGAAACTGAGTACAGAACTATAAAGCATGCGCTTACTGCCACTCTTTTTCTAACACACCCAACAATTGGAGTATAATTAGACTATGCTTTATTCTAGCTAATACCATTCACCAGTTGGCAAGCACAGGCAGACTAACAAATATTAAACAAGCTTATTGTGTTTGTCAGCACTGAGATTAAGGGGATTATGCATCATACTTCTTATACACAAGGAAATTAACCACACCTTTAATTTCAGAAATGAATGCTGATGGAGCATTAACGTACCACATCACTTGTTAAAATGATACATTGCCTAAAGAGGTAATCTACCAGCTTGTCTTGCTGTTTATTTCGCATATTTCCCTGCCTGCAGCAGAATTGAGATGTAGCTTGTTTCCGAATACTCTTCTCATCCTGCTAGGTTTGTGCACTGGATCTGGCTAAAGCTTGACTTCTAGACCGAGTTAAAAGATTGTGAAATAAATTTTCGTATACAGTATTGAAGATGGAATGCTGTGGCAAATTCACGTCATTCCCTATGTGGGTACTTGCAAAATTCTACTTGGAGTCTATTCTTGCAAATGGCAACAGTGCTATCATCATACTGAAAAAGGGGAAAACAGGCTTGTATCATATAGATATAAAATAACATGAAGAACGAATTCTGAATTCTTCGTTAATATCTTGTGAGCAGACTAATATTTATCTCAGTCCCAGCATTGATCTTGAGAGCAGAGAGAAGTAACTCATTTTACCATTTGTCCACTTAATTGTTGTTTAGCTTGTTACCTTCCAACAATTCAACTAACTCCTAATTCAACTATCCTTATTTTTTATACAACCCTCTATTCTCCATACATGAATTTTGCTGAACATATAGTGGGTGTAATACTACAGGTTTCATTTCATTCTGCTCTGACAGAGTATGCTTAAAATTGATTTTTAAAACTTGAAAAATCTTGCTCTCGTTTCTATGAAATTTAGCACCTTTGATGCATTTCTTAAGGTCATAAATTTCTATTTGTAAAACATAACAAGATAATAGCTGATAATAGCTGATAGAAAGATAATAGTCTTTCTCCCATTTTAACATTGCATTTAGTATAAGGTTATACTAATAGAATCTTGCAAGTCTGAATGTGCTTCTCCCTCCCTCTGATCTCCCTGAAGACTAGAAGAGTCTTGTCTGAGATACTTTCTTGAATTACATTTCTATCCCAGGATCAGTTATGTTTTATCAGTTGCCTAGTTTTTAGCTCTTCTTCCTGTTCCTCAGGGTTATTTCTTCTTTCTATTATACCATCTATATGCCCAAAGGAACGTGAAACACTATATATCCAAGCCATAGATGATGTTCCAGAAAAGAAAACCCTCTTCCAGAAAACTCTGACTACTTTGTCAGTCCAGTAACTGGAAAAAAAATCCCAGATAGCATTTCAAGATCTAGACTCACATACTATATTGAATTCTGTACATCTTACATAAAGCAAACGTAAATAACGCTATCACAAAATCTACAAAACCACCCAGTGAGCCTCAAGGTCTTATTCTGCTTATTCTTCCCTCAAAGAGCCTAGGTAATTGAAAAAAAACTACTATGCAAGAACTGGTGCTTCACTGCACTTATCAGAAGTATGTAGGCTCTGATGTAAGCTTTTACCAGTGCTCAGTCACATTCTTTTTGGTTTTCTGCCACTATCAATCTAGTTATCTTTTCAGCTACTTCATTTCTCTGAGGTCTTTGGTTAATTAAAAGGCTTCTTGGGATTGGTTTGGGTATTGCTCTTTGGTAGTCTTCATTTTCCAAAACTACATCCAAAAAACCAGAACAACCCACGAAAACTGTCAAGAGAACTCTATATACTCATCGAAATTCATCATCTATTTGGGACATCACCCTCATGGGATGTTTGAAAAGAGCCACTGCTGAATCTCTTTAAATGCACATTGTTTTTCACATCTTATCTTAATCATGCATGTTTTGTTAAAATTATTAGTGTGAGGCAATGAATATAGATTGATAGACACTTGCAAAATATTAACCTATATTCATTGTCAAAATAACTGCAAAGTAGTTTCACCAATAAATGGCCATGAAATCTTGCCCTCTGACTTTATTTAAATTACTTTATAATTTTTATTAACTAGACACAATGCTTTCTTATCACAAGCCACATGCATTTGCTCAGGTTTGAGATCAGGATCCCTCAGAGAAGATAACATTGGCAGTGTTATATTTGCTTCTCAAAGTATGCATAGTACATACTGTTCTATTTTTAATAACAGCCCAGAAAAGGAAATCCTGGAGATTTATTGTGAACAGATAAAGATGCAGGTTGGCAGGGTAATTTATAGTTTAATTTTTAAAATCCCGTTTCACTTTGTGATATTCCCTATTAAAATTTACACACTAATAATCTACATCTTTGGACATTTCATTTATATCTTGTCCTTGTTTTCTAAGCCTCACCCTGGGTTAGTATGCTTTTGGTAGGGATCAGTTAAAGATCATCATCCTTCAGGTCCCTTCCTGTATCATCAAATTTATACCATTGTCCTCTATGTATCTTGAAATTTTGGGCCCAAACCTACTTTTTCCCACCTATTACATACAAATCTAATACATATAATCGCAATAGGCAACATTCTTTTTTGTTCCAATTCCCTCTGCTTGTTGTTAAAATGCAGTTTGCAAGAATCTGCCTGCAGAATTCTGGTAGCTTAGTTTGTAATAGTGTGAGAGTCTTCTGAAATTTATGATTTCACTAGGAAAATCCAGCGGAGAGTCATATAACAAGTAAATCTGGTTTTTTTGCTTCTCAGGATCTGCAAGAGCAAGTTTATCTAGCCCGTCCTTCTTTAAATATAGTCATCTGAATTCTGCTTCACAAATATAAAAATTGTTAATTTCTTCCATAATTTATCTAATGTTGATTAGACTGCTTTTCTGAAAGAGATCGCATGATACAGAGCACCCTTCTCAAAATGGGCATCTGGGACTACAACTCTCAGAACTGGGTCATTCTGCTTGGGGATTCTGACAATTATTGTTCCAACACACCAATGTGTTGCAGGTTGGCACAGACTGGGGGTAAGCTTTCCAATAATGGATAACTTGCACCAACTCCCAAATGTTCTGTCCATGATAAACATGGCACTATTGGAATACAGAGCTGAGACCTATTTGGTAATGGAAGTCTAATTTTATTAAGTACAGAATTGTGCTGTGCTTTAATAAGAAATTCATGACTTGAGATTGACTTGGTGGAAAATTTCTAAATCTAGGTATAGGTTTCATGTTGAATTGTTTTGCTTATTTACCTCCTATCTGTTTCCAGGTTGTGGAGGATACCTGATCGTGGGGTGGTGGGTGGGTATCTTCATTTTATCCCCAGAACACTCGCCTGTGAAATAGGTTGAGCTGAGAAGCAGTGAGCCCTATATTACCATAATCATAGCGGACTTGAACTTGGTTTTTCCAGGCCTAATGCAATCAGTCCTAATAATTACTGTGTTACACTGTATGCTGTCATGCAAAGAGGATTATTAATTGTTCTTATTTGTGCACAACTCCAAAATAGTAAGTTTCTCTTGAAGATGAAGTTAGGACTCTTCTGTATATCTCGGCTTTGTGGAAGATAGTTTTGGTACAAGGATGCATTGTTCCATTGTTGAATAGAGGTGGTTGGTGCAGTAACATAAGAAAATTCCATCATTGCTCTGCTTCAAACCCGTTTTTTTTTTACTTTGTTTTAATGCTTTGTAATTTTAACCTGCTTTTATATTTATGATTGTTTTTATCCGTATTTTTATTACATGGTAAGTTTCTCAGAGTCACCTTGAACTGCAAGATGGGCAGAATATAAATTTAATAACTAATAATGTAACTACTGATTTAGATAATTTAGGCTACTTATTCATGTGTTTGTGGAGCCATCATTGAAAAAAATTCAAACATTAACTATGACTCCACAATGCTGTTACAAAATCAAGACCAAAACATTAAAAGTCACATGTGCATAATAAAAATAAGTAAAAATCTAACACAACTTAAGCATCATTTAGTTAAAACCAACATAAAGGCCAAATGGCCCTTGGAAAATGCTTCTTTAATTTTCAAAACGCCTACAGGTAGTGGTTGGATTATGATAGAACTGGAATTTCTATCACTATGCAATGTGTTTGTAAAGCAGGACGTGCCACATGGCCACATTGCACAGCAACAGCAGTCCTGGAAGTACTGTGATGTGACTGTGATGTGGCAAAAGGCAGAAACCACAGGCAAGCAGGTTGATGGGTGAGAGCTATAGTTTAGAGCCACAGAAAGGCTGGTGGGTGCTACGGAGCATGAATGGGTAGATGGGTTGGTTGTTGTCCTAGGAAAGTAACTATTGCAAGCAGATGCTACAGAGCATGGGGAAATGCCCTGGCCAGACACTGGGAAGCAAGCATAAGGAAGCAAAAAAGTAATGGGAGCGACTTGCGACCTGCCAACTTCCCACTGACTTTCCTTGTGTAGCAGATGACAATTATGTGCCCAACTCATGTGCAGCCAGTCTGATTGAAATCTAGCCCATATTTCTTTAGAGGACAGATATATTAAAACTAGTATGATTTATTAGCCAGAACTGTTTCATGTGTAGAGTGTTGGTTGCATAATACCAAACATCCATTTCAATTTGCTTATGTGAATGATTTAAGATCAGTTTCTATAGATAATGCTGCATGAAAAATCAGAAGCGTGAATCAGTTCACACACGTGTGTGAGTAATTGAATGCTTATGTAAGCTAGCACTTTCTTTATTGTGAAGAATGTTTGCCTCAATGAAAGTTTAGAAGCAAAACAATTACAAATACAAAGGGGGAATAAATAGTGGGTTTAAGGCTATTATCTTTGAAAATACTGTGTACTGTACTTGGAGAGGTAACAATTTTCTATCTTAAAGAGAGCTCTCTTTTTCCCCTTATTTTAGAATGCACACAGGTTGTTAGATCAATATGCCAAACCGTAAGAACTAATACAGCCTTAGGATATCCACATATAAAATCAGTTAAGGGTTTTTGTTTTGCTTTGTTTCTTCTGAACTTTCAAAGGAGTTGTATTTTTGCATCTCATTAGCTATAAAATAAATTTAGTCTCTTGACACCAATGGGAATAATCTTCATACACTTCATCATTGTAGCAATATTAAATAGAGCGTTGACAAAAGGAACATTGCTATTTGTTTCTTTTACTCCTCTTGTGAGGTTTATAATTTAATATCCAATTTTTGCTTGAAATTGATATTTTTATGTCTCCCCCTTTCTCTTGGTAGTACCTATTTTCTTTAAATAAATTCCTGAAATATACTAACATTTATACGTGATATAAAGATAATTGTTTTCTATATCTAATATCGTCATTTTTAGAACTAGAGAGAAAAGTAAGAAAAGTATTAGACAGTTATTTCAGCAATACCAATAATACATTTCTTCATACCTATGTTCTGTTATTAGCAAAGCTAACTCTGTTTCTCTCATAGGTAAGATTCTATTATGCCGGCCGGATTCTTCCGGGTGTGCTTGGTGGTAATAACAGCTATTATCAACCATCCACTTCTCTTCCCAAAGGAAAATGTTACTGTTTTTGAAAACACAGAAGAAATCATTGAAAAGATGAAAGAGCGTGAAGAGAACCTGAGGCTAGAGCAGCTGAAACTGGAGCAGGAACTAGCAGCACAAGAGGTTTCAGTAGATTCTTCAGAGGAGAAGACTGGATCAGAAAAACAATATGACCATGATTCCCTTTCTTGGAATTTCTGGACTGTTTTGTCCATGATAGTCTTCCTTCTGATTGAATTCTGGAGACAGGATTACCAGGAAGGGATCTGGCAAGATTATACCAAAGATGATGATGAAATTAATGTCCTGGGAAAAACATTCAAGGGTTTTATTCTACCAGACAAAGTCACATTGGACAGTTTTTATGAAAGATGCCTCCAGAATGTGACAAGTGATATTGCTAGGAACCGAGAGCTTGTGGAAGGCTTTGCAGATGACTTATTAGAAGCTTTGAGAAGTGTGTGTAACCGAGATACTGACATGGAAGTGGAAGAGTCTATAGGAGTTGGGAGCATGTATGAAAACTGGAGAGCAAATAAGCCTTTTACTTGTGATTTCATTGTTCCCTTTAATCCCCCAGAGCCATACTGTTTCCAATTTGAGACCTGGTGTTCGGGAGAGTCTATTCTACCAGACAAAGGAAGTTATGGTATGATAAAAATCATCCGGTCATATGATAACTCATCAAGTTGTATCTGTGATAAAACTAAATTGGGGGAAGATTTACTTTGTCTGCTTCATAGCAAAGCAAGCCAAACTAGGCAGAGTAACCATATGGAAGATCTCCTTTGCTCCAAAGACACTCAGTATCTTGATTCTGATCAGGTTATGACATGGTTCCAGATGGCACTTACCAAGGGATGGAATAAAATTGCACACAAGTATGAATTCAGTCTGCTTTTCAATCACCTGGATACTCCAGGTGCCCTGAAAATCAAGTTCAGGTCTGGAAAAACCATCACATTCAATCTCAGGCCTGTGGTACAATATGCAGATTCTGATGTATATTTTATCTCTCACTTTCCATTCAATAGCTTCACCAGCAACACTCACTGGTTTCTCACCTTTACTGTGTACGAGAAGAGATATATCCAGTTTATTTCCAAAACTTTGCCTGCTAATCCTTGCCACCTCAGTTGCCTCCAGATTTTGTCTTTTCTTCATGGAAAACAGTGCAGTCTGACAGAACCGAGTAGCCTGACAAACTACCATTTTAAAACAGTAATACTGCATTTGCTACAAATCCATCCTAGTTCAGCGTGGACTTCTGACTGTCTGGAGGCCAGGCTGCAAGATGTACTCAACTTTTTGGAGAAAAGCTTGCAAGAAAAAAGACTTTACCATTTTTTCATTGGAAATAGAAATCTGCCACAGGAACTGGGTGTTCCAGTGGAGTTTCAAAAGGCAGAACCACTGAATCTTTTCCGGCCCCTAGTATTGCAACGAAACACTTACAGAAAAGCTATGGACATGTTCCACGAGATGCTTAAAAATACATTGGCTTTAATTAATGAATATTCCACGAATGTTCCAAATGGACAGGCAACTCCACTAAATAAAGATCTTCTCTGAGAGCTCCTCCTTTGACTGCTACCATACAGTATATGCAAATCTCCCCAGGGGAGAAGATGTATACATGTGGTAGAATTTACAGATATCTATATGACAAATACCATTTTCATTTTCTTTCCAATGGGCTGATATTTATGCAACTTTCAACATTTTTACCACTGCATTTCTTTGTTGTAATGAGCTTAAGCAAGGAAGATCATTTTTAATTTATTATATTACAGTTTTAAGAATATAGCGGTATATGTGTTAAGTGTTTTATTATTGCTGCTGTGGCAAAGTACCATAGCCAGACTGAAAAAGAATGCCTTATTTACAAGGTCTAACATAGTTAATGAGAGAAGGATGATGTACAATTAAGTAATATATATTCTGTTTTGTTCCTTTCCTTTGGCATAAAACTCTACTGCCAAGATTTTTTAAATGTAATTTTAAGTTAGTTTAGATATATGTAGAAAATAATGGTTCAGTATAACTTTATGCATTTGACAGTGCAATTCCAAATAATGCCTTTAGAAGCAGATCCTACTAAATTTGGGACAGCTTACTTCTAAGGGATCTCAACTTAATAGGCTTGACATATTGGAGTCAGAAATTCTTGAGCAGATCCAACTTTGCCCATCTTCACTGAAATGAATTCACCCCTTTAAATCCCCAAATCTGAGCTTTGCCAGGATTATTATCAGCCAAATGCTTTTTAAAAAGTCCATTCACTTGGAAGATGGGACTTTTTTTTGACTTTCTGCTCTCTGGACTGCATTTCCTTCTATTTCTTACATAAGAGGCTTGCTTTGCCACTCTGTTCCAATGGCAATTACTAATTTTCAGAGGAAAAAGGGCCAAATTGCTATTTTTGTGCAGCAAAAGTCAATGAATAGTCTGAAGTGAAGACTGCTTAAAAACCAATGATTGAATTAGAAATACTATAGACAAGATCACTTATCTATATACAAGCTATCGTGTGTGTGTGTGTGTGTGTGTGTGTGTGTGTGTGAGAGAGAGAGAGAGAGGGGGGGGGGGGGGGGGAGAGGGAGAGAGAGAGATTGATTAAAAGTGGTGAACATTATTTATCTTCCTGCCTCCTATTTTCCCAACAACAACAACCACTCCCATTGGGTGGCTTAGACTGAGAGACATCAACTGGCCCAAAGTCACCCAGCCACCTTTCATGCCTGAAGGAGGCCTAAAATCACCATCTGGTTTCCAAGCCAGTACCTTCACCACTACAGCACCCACCCACCCCATCATATGCATTTATTAATACTTTTTGTGGCCACCAGTGATTTCCAGAAGCTATAGAAAACTGTTGATTACATTCTGGTACAACACAAACAAATCTTAAAACCAGTAGTTTGCTTTTAAAAAACAGTGGTTTTTAGTTATACTGACACATAATTCTGAATGTAGTTTTGCAGTGACATGAATCATTCCTGCACTGAGCAGCAAATCAGGTTCAGTAGCTTAAATTATCCCTTCAGACCTAATTCTATAGCAGTTACACAGATTGGGCAATTCTATATTTGCATATTCATTATCAAATTATAAATTGATATATTTATATCTATCCTTAGTCCATCTTTCATGCAGTGCTTCTCTTTACCAACAGAAATAGTCAAATTATTCCTGATCTGATTTAACAGTGTTTAAATAAGTCTAAATAATGCTGCTATGTAAACTGTTCATGCACTCTTGGAATACAATGAATCTTTGCTTGAACAGACCTTGACTTGTCAAAACTCTTGCTATTTGCCTGACTTTATTAAACCAATAACAGTTTATATTATTTGTATGATGTCATTATGCCAATGACATAAATTTTGACTAAAATGCTGTAGTGGGAATTTTCAGGAATAACAAACATCTGTCACTAGTCAATGTGTTAAATTAGTTTTAACAGTACAGTGGACATTTGCGGCCACAAGTTTTACAAAGGTATGAAGAAGATACCAAAAAGGGTCACCAAGTGATGACATTACTGGACCCTGTAAAAAAATGTTCCTAGTGGCTTGGGGGAGGGGGAGGCAAATGGAGAACTTTATAAAGAAATAGAAAATTATGCAATCTCTGTCCTATAATATGAACAAATTTTGGAAAACATTTCATGTGACTGATATTTAAGCTTTGAAATTTTCTGTCACGAGTTATATTGATAACTTCTATGGAATCTTCCCAAAAGATCTAGCGATAAAAAAATAAATTCCAGTTCTGATCACTAGATTCTACTGGAAACAGCTTCCTAATGTATATTGCAGTGATGGCGAACCTTTTTCGCCGCGGGTGCCTAAAACACCCGTGTGCGTGCTATCACACGCACTCAAGTGCCCACCCACATAAATTAATGCCCCCTGTCAACTCCGTGGACCGTGCATTTTTGCTCAAGGCTTCTGCCACTCCCTGCTCTGGCTGTTTCCCCTTGGCTAACACCCAGCGAGAAGTTGCTCTGCCACAAATGGGCAGAGACCGGGGTGGGAGATGCTCAATTGAACTCCTGCGTCAAAAACTTTCCCTTATTCTCCTGTGTAAAGATTGGGTCCTTTATACTCCGACAGGTGTGAGCCCAGTTGCCACCCCCCCCCCTTATCAAAGAGGATCCTGGGCAATACAGTCAATAGACAAATGAGGAAGGGAGCTGCCTGCATGGGGGAAAGACAAGCGGCAAGGAAAGAAGAAAAGGGGCCTCTTTCCCTTTTGCTGGCTGCTCTGTTTCCCCCCTCCCCATGCTATTAATGGGGATCCTGCCTGATCGCTGGAATCCAAAGGGAAATGAGGAGAGAGCTGCCTGCAAGCAGGAGGGGGGGAGACAAGCTGCAAGGAAAGAATTGGATTCCAGCGATCAGGCAGAATCCCCTTTAGTAGCACGGGGGAGGGTGGAGAAACAGAGCAGCCAGCGAAAGGGAAAGAAGCCTCTTTTATTATTTCCTTGCCGCTTGTCCCTCCCCTCCCCCCCATGCAGGCAGCTCTCATTTCTGGTTTGCGTTAGGCTGTTTTTCTCCCTTTGAAGGCTTTAGGGAATCCTCCAGAGAGCAAAAAACCGTCAAAAATCAGCTGGTGCATGCGTGCTGGAGCTGACGGCAACGCCTTGCGTACCCTCAGAAATGGCTCCGCGTGCCACCTGTGGCACGCGTGCCATAGGTTTGCCATCACGGGTATATTGGATCTAAACGGTATATCTGATCCATCCATCCCCATATAAATAGCTGCTCTTCCAGTGTAAAATGGGCAAGGCTGTTTGTTGAGGCTTTTGTTTAGATTGAGAATAAAAGTTAAACAAGTCTAATCTCCAACAGCAAACAGTATGGCAATCTCATTAAATAAATATACAGCACACAGTCCTTGACTTATGACTGGTCATTTAGCTACCATTCAAAGTTATGATGGCCTTGGAAAGAGTGCTTTATGGGCTATAAACATTTTCAGCCAAATTAAAGGTGTTCCTCCATACCCACCCCATAACCTGAGTGCATTTTAGGCACTTGGTGATTGGCTCTCATTTACAACTGGTTGCCAAACACTGCAGGATCAAGAGATTGCCATTTGCAATCTTTGCTAGTTTTCCCAGAAAATCAGTGAGGAAGCTGCCAAGGAGGTTTGCAAGTAGCAGGAATAGAGGGGAGCCCAAATTCTTCTGAAGGCTATAGAAATGGAGCTCAAAACCTGAAGATTTCAGCATGGTTTCTGCAGCCCACTGAAGAATTTTTCCTCCATGCATGGAGAACTGAAATTCTATAATGCAAATCCCAAGAATAAGAAAAACTGTTGAAAACTTTGTGTCTACATTTTTAAAAACCATAACTCTGGACTTTGATAAAAAGATTGAAAAATCCTTTGGGCCATCAATAGTGTCAAAATGTCCATTTTCTAATAGCATTCTTTTTGCAGGCAATTTCTGCACTTAAAAAATGTTTCTTGTATTCATGTCAACAATATGCTATATAACTGATTCCTTGTAAAATACAGCCTCCAGTTAATAGGTCTATTAAACAGCCCTCTGTGACTTCAGTTATTTTAAGTAATTACATGATGGAAGTGGAAAATACCTGTCATCTTTCCCTGTCAGCATTATTTCTAGTTTTGTCACAGTCTTGTAATAAGTCTCTCAGGAGAAACAAAATACATTGTAAAAAATCCACAAGTTCCTTCAGGGTATCATTGAACATCTGTGAAAAGCTTTATTAAAGTTTTAGCAAGAAATATACTTTTAAAAACTTCCTTTAATTTTAATTTGCCTATTTCAAAAGTTACACTATAAGAAAGCAAAGCTGAATTCATAGAAAAAAATAAGTGGTTCAAGAAATGTGTATACATAGACTCTCTCTAAAGATAATGAGTATTCCTTTCTCCTTTGTTGGTGGAGACAGCGGTCGTGCATGGGTTAACTCAGTCAGTAACCAATAGAACTGAGTCTACCAAAGTGATGTCATCGGCTCTGCAGAGCATGCTCCCGCTTTTTAAGACTCCATTCGATTGAACTGGCTGTGTTAAATCGCTCTCTCCTAGATTAATTGGTTAAAATTGATTGATTGATTGGGTTTTTAATTGACTTTTCTCTGAATTCGCTTGCAAATTGTTTCTTTAAGCTGATATTCCAGTCTGGGCTCCTGATAAACTCTCTAAAGCCTCTGGGCTAGAGAGCTTTTGCCGCGCTTCATCGAGGTTAGCCTCTAAAAGCCTTCGGGCTTTCTGCCGGATCGGATTTCAGCAGAGCTTGCTGGAATAGCCGAGGGAAGCCCTAATCCTCTCAGCAGGGGACTCCCAGGTTGCTGCCTTGCCGCTCTCACTGCTAATTGCACCGCTGCTTGCAGGAGCCTCCAGACACAGCGGGGAGCCTAATTAGAGCCGAAAAATTCACCGGCGGCTGGGGAACACCGTTCCAGCTCCTGAGCTTCACACTTTGTCGCTCCAAGGACAGCAGCAAGCCTCCACAACCTTGCCACAGAGCCTAACCCGCCCAAGTTCACCATGAGGCCTCGGCTACCACGTGGCTCCGGCCCATAGGCTCTGCAGCCTCAGTGGCCATTGAAATTGGCGCGAAAACTTCTGGTGGCCATTTTGAAGCAACAAACTAACTGAGTAACGGCTATGGCCTCCTCTCCCCCTCCGGAGCCTCAATTGCCTCCTCTGCCCTTGGTCTCTGCCCTTGATATTGAGGCCCCTGCCCCTAGGGGTCGCAAGCGCAGGCCTGCTCCTGCTGAAAACACCGAGCTTCCTCAGGGGGAAGTGCAGGAACCAGCCCTTAGGGAGGAAGACAGGGCCCCTCAGGCTCCAGCTAAGAAGGCCAGGTCCAAGACTAAGCACGCTGAACCTCGCATATTCCAGGCCCAGAGACCTGTTCATTCCAGTCCTTCCCCTGAATTTTCTCCCGATTCAGAGGATGACCTCTCTCCTGCTGCATCCATCTTGCAGCCCGAGGATGCTAGAGGCACAGTTACATTGGCCAATAATGGGGATGATTCGGATTGTGACAGGAGCGTCACTCCTGATGAAGATCCCCTCTACCAGGAAAATATTTCTCACTCTTCACGCCAACGCCGTTCTTATTCACCAGGCATGGCAGACATGATTTCTGAGGCCATTGAGTGTGGTATTGCAGCAGGCCTTAAACACAGGTCTTCTAACCGTTCTGCTTCTCGCAGGTATCTCCATCTCTTCTTCTAGTTCCAGGAGCAGGGATGGTGATCTCTCGGCTTCCTCGTCACACGAACTACCTGGCACTTCCAACCAACAGTTGGTCTTCGGGGAAGAAGAGCACCCGGCAAGAGACTCAGACCTCTCAGAGGATGAGGGTCTTCCACCCGACCCCCCTCCTTTTGTCGGTTTGTTTAAACCTGCTGTCTTTTGTTTTCTCCTGTTTAAGGCAAGGGAAATTGCAGGCATCCCAGCCCCAAAAGCATCCCAGAGTGCGGAAGCAGACAAGACTGACACCACCGATCCGCTCTTCATCCAGCCTACGGTGGAAAAAGAGGTGATCCCTTCACCACGGTTCTTCATGGACGTTGTCCAGAATCAGTGGGCATCTCCAGGTACTGCAACCCTTCCCAATGCCTCGGACAAGCATCTGTACAACGTCGCTTCTGACTTTGCCAAGACCTTAGAGGTACCTTCTGTTGATTTGCCGGTAATTGCCCTCTCCTCTCCCAACGCGCCTTCAGCAGCTCCGGAGGAAGCCCTACATCCAGAGGGCAAGAAGGTAGAGCAAACTCTGGTCAAGGGTCACCAGGCCTCAGCTTGGGTTGTTAGGGCGAGCACCTCAGCTTCCTTCTTTAGTCGATCCGTTCTTCTCTGGCTGAGACAGCTTCAGGCTCGCCTTCCAGCCAGGGATTCAGGGCTCGCAGGGACATCAATAAGATTAAGGCCACCTTAGAATACACTGCAGATGCTTCCCTGAACACAGCACGCTTTGCCTCCAAAGCCATTGCCTCCTCCATCTCTACCCGCCGGCTTATCTGGCTGAAGCAGTGTCAAGCGGAAGCACGGGCCAAGTGGAGGCTTGCACCCTCTCTCGGCTCTGCATCCCTTCTCTTTGGTCCTCCATTAGAACCCCTTCTGGTGGAGTCCAAAGATAAGAGGAAGGTTCTGCAACCAGCCACTAAAAAGCAGGAAGATCAGAACCAATCCTTTTACCGTAGGGAGTCCTTTCATGGCCAGGAGGGTAGTACTTCCAACTCCCATCCGCAGCAACAGGCCCCTCCTAGACAGGCCCCATCCTTCTCCTATAGATCAGGCAGGAACAATCAGAGATTCCAGCCCAGAAATCCCTTCAAGGACAATTCCAACTGTTCCTTTAAGAGGCAGAAGTGACTGCCTGGAGGATCTCCCAATAGGGGGGTGTCTAACGACCTTCGCGGATCTATGGGACGACATCACCAACGACACGTGTTTCAGGTTCACAATCAAATTCGGCCTTCTCTTGGACTTGCGCTCCAGCCCTCCGAACCACTTTGTCCCGTGTCCTATCTCCAGGGACCCTCAAAAAAGGCTCCTGGTAGAACAGGCCATTCGCCACCTTCTCCAGATTTGGGCCATTCAGCCTGTGCCTCCAGGCCAGGAGAGACAGGGGTTTTACTCTCGTCTTTTTATCGTGCCAAAGTCTTCGGGGGACTGGAAGGCAATTCTCGATCTAAAATTTTTAAATCAATTCGTCAGATACAGGAGATTCAAGATGCATTCTCTCCTATCAATTCTAGAGAGTATTCGCAGACATGATCTCCTCACATCAGTGGACCTGATGGAGGCTTACCTCCATGTGCCCGTCCACAAACGGCAGAGGAGGTTTCTCCGCTTTGTCCGTGCGGGCTTCCATTTCCAATATCGGGCCCTTCCCTTCGGGCTGTCCTCAGCTCCAAGGGTTTTCATGAAACTTCTGTCTGGCGTAGCTGCGCATCTGCGGGCCAGGCCCATCCAGATCTTCTGCTACCTGGATGACATCCTCTTGTTGTCCAGGTCACGTACCCAGGCCCTCAGAGATCTCCAGGACACCCTTCAGGTATTAGAGGAAGTGGGGTTCTCCATCAATCGGGAGAAGAGTCACTTTGTCCCCACTCCTCGCCTGGTGCACATGGGAGCCCTCAGATTCATCCCAAGGGAAAGTCTTCCTGTCCCAGGACCACCAGAGCAGTCTCAGGGAGTTAGCCAGAGAGGTACGAAGGAGGCAGTGGGTCCCTCCTCTCCAGCTGTCTCAACTGCTGGGGAAGATGGTCTCCTGCTTCTCCATCGTCCCTTGGGCACGGCTTCACAGCCGCTGCCTCCAGTGGTTTCTTCTGCCATTCCAGAAGACCAACAGCAGCTGTTCCTCAGTGAAGGTTATAGGTTTATTTCATTTATATGGTCCTCCTGATCCTGGAAGTCCTGTCATCCCTGGAATGGTGGATCTCCCCGGCCATAGCTCAGGGCTCTCTTTTTGGGGATCCTCCATGTCTTGTGGTAACAACAGACGCGAGCCTCACGGGCTGGGGAGCTCACTTGGAGGAACAAGTAGCGCAGGGTCTTTGGTCCAATTCAGACCTATCACAGTATGACTTGGCTAGAGTTGAGGGCAAGAGGCTGCCTCTGTAAATTGCTTAGAGA